CTCACCCACAGTTTATGTTTGTTGATTATTGGCCTGGCTTGGTCTTGATACCCGTTGCCTCACGTATATACGCGAGCATCTTGGTTCAGCGTGCCTTTGTCAGCAATCTGCAAGCTGACGCTTCATGTCAATGTTGTCGATCTTTCTCTTCTTGCACGCTCTCCCATGGAGTGGTTCTGGATTCCCACTTGCTTCGTCCAACCATGGTATCCGGTGTTGTTGGCTTAGGCGTTTCGCTTCTTGAATGTTATCCCCAAACCTGTGTGCCTCCCGCTTGTTCGCGACTTATACCCTTGATCATCACATGCACCTCAAATGTAAAGCCATAATTAGTGTAACTGCAGCGGAGCTGCCGTAGCTTTGCGCTTAAGGAAGCGTCTTTAGGTCACCGACCTTTCGTTCGATACAAGAATCAAGTAAAAGTGCAGCGGATCGCAATCCACTGCCTCTAAAAGTACTTAAAAGCCTTACCAAGGCAAACGAACCCTTCTGTTCAAAATCGAATCTGATTTTTATTTTTATTTTTATCCTAATGTTAAGAGTTTAGATTTTCCTTAATATACTAAATATATAGTAGAATCTAGATACATCCATAACTACTAGCTACCTAGCCCCGTCCCGTATTCTTGTTTGGGTATGTGGTCGCATTATGCACATCTCGTGTGACACACACCCCTGTTATTTGGGTTTGTGTAACCCCGTTACAGTAACAAAGCTGCATGTACCCTGGTATGAAAGGGTGGGTCACACAAGATCGTGTGACTGTACAGAGGTGTGGATTACACAAGACGATGTAATCACACAATGGTGTAGCTACTCCGTAACAAGAAGCCAATATGTGAAGGAGTAATGCATATGAATTAGGTCTAACTATTTGGAAAAACCTAGATATTAAGATAAAGGCGACTCTGCCGCAAATAAAAATGATGAATATAGTTTCAATTTTGAACGGAAGAGTGTATTTGCCTTGGGTTAAGATTTTGCGTACTCTTGGAGGTAACAGATTGCGATCTGCTACACTCATACTGGTTCTAGTATAGAGCGTAGGGTCGGTGACCTTAGTAAGCTTCCTCTAAGCAGAGAGCTACGACAGCCCCGCTGCACTTGGCAGCACATGTAGTCAATCCATACCTGAGTCGTTACGACTAATTCTCTGTGAGGGTAAAGGAAATCTACTATTTGCCCCAAAGTATGCAGGACGGGCTATAAACGCTGATGTCTCTGCTTGGCCCTGAGGGAGTGCGACAAGGACCTGAAGCGATAAGCACGCACCTAGAGCGTTCTCAAAATCCGAAAATGCTCTGCTAGAGCACCTGCAGCAGAAGATGTCGGCGTCGACTGCGTTTATGGCTCCATCGTCGGCGACGGATGATTCCTTCCGACCCAGGCTGCTAATGGTGAGCGTTAAGACCTTCACGGGTTAGGATGGAGAAGTCACCTGCTCTGGGTAAGAGAGATGGCTATGGCATCCGCCATGCTCCAGAACTAGCAACAGCGCGTGGCGCTAGTTATCTCCAAGCTAGGTGGTCGAGCTCGGGTATGGGCATTGATTTGCGGCACTTTGGTGGAATCGACGTGCCTCTCCTGGACGGAGCTGAAGCTGCAGCTTATGCAAATGCTCTCGCCGCCTAACAATGCATATCGCGCGCGATAGCGTTTCCTTGCCGCCCGACGGGCACGAAGTAATTGATGGACCCTATCCAAGAGGTGCGTACTTGTCGGGATGGCAGCCGATCCTCTTCCGCAGTGGACACAGTGACCATCTTTATGGAGGGCCTCCGCACTGGCGTGACCAGAATGAAAGGCTTTCGTGTGCACCGTCGTTTTTTGAAGAAACGGTGAATGTGGCATTGAATGTCGAATTTAACTTTAAGTCGGTGCGATTTTGTTGGAATGCACACCCTCAGAGCTCATCGAGCGAGCCTGAGCCGATGGATCTCAGCTATGCTGAGATAGAGGAGGGCGAGCTCCGACCTGCCGATCAGCGTTCAACACCCGGCATTGTTTTGTGACACCCGTCACGTTCTCACTGGTTGTCCACAGCACAAGGTGAGTCAAGTTTTATCTGATCGATGTCCCGCTTCTTACCAGTCTAGTTCGTCGCGGGAAATGACAGCACCCAGTAGGCGCGGGACGCCCTACAGAGGAAAAAATGAGATCTGTTGAGCCTTAAAGAGGTTGAGAGCAGCAGGACCCAGCCCCGAAAAGATCCGTGCTCTTGAACACGAAACGTGTACGCAAGCCGGGCTTGCTGGTCGTAAAAGCAACCATGTAGGCCTATGACAAGCCATGGAAGACCCTTATCAATTCCGGGGCTTCGGGCAATTTTTTTAAAGTTAGGCTGGACGCTCCACGATCTAAGAAGTTAGCTGTATGCTGAGGCGCTGAAAGCGCGGTTGAGTGACACCGTCACTGTTCGCTTAGCGACCGAAAGTCCCTGTGGACCTCGATGTCAAATTTCTTGATTTGTCAGCGTGAAATTTTGTCTCCGACTTAAATTCAAGATATGACATTATCCTTGGTATGGCATGGCTGGAACACCATGAGGCATGGATCGTTTGGAGGTCGAAGACCTTGGGTGTCGCACACACGTCTCCTGGCGGAACTTTGGTGAGTCAAGAACCCACCTCTGCTAGGAAGCAGAAGCGCTATTGGCGCAGGCAATGGATCGGGACGGTCAATGTGCTGGATTGGATATCGGAGTATCCGAGTTGTCGAACATCAAAGGTATATGAGACAAGAGTTCCGAGCATGGTTTGCGGGCTGAACGTGGAGTGGCACGTAACGCACTGGGCAATGCTCAAGTATTAAAGCAGTCACGGCATGCCAAGAGTGGCATGGTCGGCCAAGGGCCGAGGCATCGAGGGCGGGGCCTAGTGATACACGTTGAGTGGCACGTAACCCGCTGAGTGCTGCTCATGCACTGAAGCAGTTGCTGCATGCCAAGAGTGGCATTGTCGAAAGAGGGCCGAGGCTTCATTGGCAAGGCCCTTCAGATGCACGAGGAGTGGCACGAAATTTAGTTAGCACTGTTCACGTTTCAAAGCATTTG